GCGACTTATGTAGTTGTTGTAATTGCTATGATTATCGTTGTTTCATGCTCGACAGCATTGGTAATACAATATTGTTACAAATGATGTTTTCTTTATAATTATGGTTATGTTCCTGCCAAAAAGAAGCATTGAAATACAATAAAATGTAAATGGCGGTACTAAATATTATAACAAAGCCAACATGTCAGTGTACATACATCACTACTTTTGCGAATAACTAAATCCATATGTTACTTACGCATATAATAAATATTTAAGACTCATTCATTGTTGTGGTTGCTGGCGCGAAGGACAATTTCGTTTATTATGCCCAACAACCCTACAATAACCGCACCTTGTTCGAGTAATTGCCCCTTCACGCGAATCCATTTCATTGTGAATACGTGTACTTCTTGGCCTCCCTCGTTGACGTCTCATAGACACATATGGTATAACTGTTGCATGTGCAAATGGCGGTATGAAATCCTCGTTACCAATTGGATACCATTGACCCGAATAAATTTCACATTGATTCTTGGCACTGTATGCAGGGTCTATGTACAATGTGGGATCGTGATGCGTCGATGTACATGCCGCAATGACATGGCTACATGGGAACCTGAAAGCAGTGAACTCACCACACTGACATGTACGGTCAGATAAAGAAACCGACCATTTTCGTCCCTTGCGATGAGTCCGGACATTATACGACTCTTGCACTTCAAATCTTGTCCTTTGCGCGTCATAAGATGTTACGTAATGTGTCGCATCTTTACTTTGATTGTCAACATATAGTCGCCACATGACTTTGGCGAAGCGATTACCTCTGTCAAGCTCCTCACGGGCTTCCTGTCCGTGCTCTAAAAAATATGCCACCAGTCTACTGTAAGTTATACGCACGAGTGACGTAATTGGAAGGTTTCTTGCCCCTTTTAAAACTTTGTTAACACACTCTGACAGATTAGTTGTCATGTGGCCAAACCTTCTTCCTTGTTCATCGTAAGAGATGCTCCACTTCTCTTTCGGGATGCGATCAATCCAAGCAGCTATTTGAGGGCTTGTTTCTCTAAATTTCTCTAAACTAGCATCAAAGTCAAAGCGCGATGTTGTATATCCTACACATGGCACACAAAAAACATTACTACATGTTGTCCATTAAACGAATCAGAACAATTGAAAACATACCTGACTTCTTCAACTGCTTCTTCAACATGACATTCTTGAACTTGTGATTGAAATTACTGGCCACGTGGCGAAGGCAATACACATGATATGCCTGTGGTGGAGACCATCCTAGATCAGCATTGTTGACTGCAGACAAGATACCCGCATGCCGATCAGAAATCAGACAGATTCCGTGTTTTTGCGTAACATGTATTCGAATAAGTGCTAAGAACCATGACCAGTTGTCAGTATTCTCCGCAGACACGATAGCGAATGCAATTGGAAGAATGTAATTGTTGCCATCAACAGCTGTAGCAATCATTAGGGTCCCACGATATTTGCCATATAGATGTGTTCCATCGATCAAGATTATTGGCTTGCAATAATTGAATGCTTCACAACACTGTTTAAATGTCCAAAACACCCTTCTTAAAACCTTGTGAGCTTGGTCTAGGCATCCATCAATGAAATGGTCACGCAAATCCAGCTTATATGCGGATCCGGGAGAAAAACGCAACATGTAATCCAGCCACCTAGGTAAGAACGCATACGACTCGTCCCAGTCACCAAAAACTTTCACAATAGCCTTTTGCTTTGCCTTCCATGCCTTCCTATACGATATATGGAATCCAAGGCTAGTAGCGATCCTTTCTTGGATAAGGCCAATTTTGACACTGGGCTCCTCTCTTATCATTTCTGTTTATGTGGTCAAACAACACTGTATTAGTCAACAATAGACAAAGTTTTTATAAATTTAATATGAATAACTGTACGCACCTAAGATCAATGAACAAATGAGATTTGAGTCCAACTGCTTGTGATCTTGGGTAAGAGATTGACTAACACATGTGTGTTCGTTGTTCCATATGCCTATCGCCCATTCGCTGCGCCTTTTTTTTGGTATGCTCTCATCCTCATTGGACAACCCGCGTTATGATTTTGACAAACCATAATCAACCTTTTCGTATCACTTTTCAGAACGACTGTTGTGCGATGATTTTCCATAAAATATTGTTTAATTGCCATCTGTACATCTTGCTTAGTGTCAAACATTTGGTCCTTATATAGCTCGTCGCCGATCTGCCAGTTAGGTATTTGTGCTCCATTCATATCATCCAATTCTTGGTCTGGATATTCCCAATTAACATTCGTGAAATGGCTTACTCCAGACCAAAATGGTACATTATCATTTCCTGCATAATAAGATATCCAAAAACCCAATATATAATGTAAATGTCGTTATATTTGATATTATATATTTTATTATAAAGCATTAATCCTTACGTACCTGCAACAGGAGGATCTTGCATTCAGACAATGCCTGGCGATGGAATTGGTTGTTCAACTGCAGTAGACGGACAACAATCAAAGTCACCATCGACATTCGTATCTGATGACTCGCTATCTGGGACAAGACCTTTATCACGCTCTTCCTCGGAACTATCTGTACGCCAAGATGGATCGTACATGTCATTGGCTGGAACCGCTTCATACAAAATTTCTTGGGTTGGTGGTGCAAGCGTTGGGGACGCGACCTCAACTTCCAGATTAACCTCGGGCACCATGTTTATGTCGATGATGTCAGTGCATGGATTGCTCGGTTGACTGCTGGATTGTCCACCGTAGTTGACTTCTGCATACAATTCAATAAATCTTGACTCGCCGTGTTCAGAAGTGCTTGCATCTACTACTAACGTTACATCTTCATCGTCGACAATTTCCACACCAACCCATTGCACCGGGTTACCCGAGGCACATCTAGCGGTCAACCGAGCAAGAGTTTGACCACATTCTAATCTTAACTTCTTGTATGTTAACTTCTTCAGCTCGTGAAGATTGCATCTTGGGCACATGCGAAACATTTTTGCATCACCTTCAAACACTTTCCCGTTTGGACCAAAGTATTTTCTTCCATTATAATAAACAGTTGCTATTAAATCATTCCTACCCTCACTCATCCTGCAAAAATAGAAAAAAAACTAAGATTCAACAACAACACAAAAGTAGTAAACCTTAACATAAAAGGAAAAATATGGCACTGGTAGTTCATACCCGAAATGGAGTAATTTATAGCTCATAATTCGCTAGGGGGTAGCAAATTAAGTATCATAATTTCGCTGTACCCCCTAGCGAATTAGTAGGGAGATGACACTTGGCAGATATTACATATTTCGCTACCAGTCATGCCAAAAATAACCACATAATTCGCTACCTAGTACAGCGAATTATGTGGGGAAGTGACACGTGGCCTGACTTTGAGTTGACATGAACTCACCCTTCTGCTGCATAATTCGCTGTACAGGGTAGCGAATTACGTGTCCAACAGGGGTGTGACACGTGTCCAAAAGGTGTCTGGCAGGGCTGACCTTTTGACCACGTATTTCGCTACCCTGTGTAGCGAAATACGTGGACCACTGAGGACGTGACACATCATCAGGCCTAATTCGCTGCACTGTGTAGCGAATTAGTCTGCGTGGCAGTTTGGGAATTTTTACTGTGCGCGTGGCATTCTGGTAAATTTTATGATGAACAGTGGCAAATTGGTCACTGTTCCTCAAGGTTCTGTGTGAAATTTTAATCACATTGTATCCCTGTTACATTCATTTTCTTCAATTTGTTATGCAAATTTTAATAAATTTTCAAAATATTTGCTTAATCTAAATAAAATAAAACCAATAATAAAATGGGAAAAATATTTACAATTTTTTTAATTTTCTAAACTCTTATAACCAAATTTTAATCTTTTAATTTTGCTAATTGTAACACCCCGTGTATACTCGGTTTGTTAACATGTCATCGTATTAAGCTGTGCTTAATTAAAAATGCGGAATATCTTTTTCTTTTCAATTATGACATCATTATACTTAGCCAAGTTGATTACTTAATCAATTCCATAAAATATTGTCTGTATGTAAATTGCAAAAAGACATCTAACTGAAATACCTCATAATATAGATAAAGTGAGTATCTATGTCACGGATCCACTACACATAGTCCGGACTATAATCCTGATACATTAATACAACTCCAAAAGAAACAAGATATAATCAAGTCCATGTGGCATGGACAATCTCCATGCTCACCAAATCAACAGCATAACCTACAGAGTCTCAACAGAGGAATCCATGAACCCAAAATTATAACCGTCAGATTGACGAAAATCAAAAATCAATAGTTAAGATTTGGTTGTAATAGCTTGTAATCGAAACCCAAAAATTATAACAGTCACATTGGCGAAAATCAAAATTCAATGGTTAAGATTTGGTTGTAAGAATTTGTAATCGAAAAAATATATACTGTTACTTTAGACAATTTTGTCTAATACTAACCGAAAAAAGATGTCATTTTGAAGTTAAAAAATTAAATAAATTAAAATTATAAATACATCGTGCTTTCCGCCCCAAAACGACGTCGTTATTATAAATACATCATACTTTCCGCCCAAAACGACGTCGTTTCTTTTGAACATTAGACAGAGTTGTCTAAAGTAACTTTAGGAAAAACGATATAAGATAACATGGGCATATGTATATCCTTACGAAGCATACGACGCTTGAGGGTGGCCAACCACACAATCAACGTCACATATCGCTGCATGAATTAACAAAAGTTTGAAATATATTTATTAAAATGTATTTTTATTATAAGGAAAATGATAAAGAATTTCTTTTTTTGAAATTAAGTCTACGTTTGAGGATGGTGAACCATACAATCAACGTCGTCGATCATTTTTCGTCGCAAAATAGGCAATTTTCGTCGCAAATACACTTTGTGACGGAATTTGCGATGGAAAAAAGCCATCGCAAAAACCCTCGTCGCAAACAAAATTTGCGACGACATTTTGGATGATTATTTTCCGTCCCAAATTGCGATGGATTTTTTCATCGCAAAACAACATTTTTTGTCGCAAAAGATTGAGCTGCATGTAGACTGATACCGTCGCAAATTGCGACAAAAAAATCATTGCAAATTCTTATAGCAAAATTTGCGACGGAAAAATATTAGCATATCGTCGCAAAAATGCGTCAAAAATATGCAACGACTTATAAAAATACCGTCACAATTTGCGACGAAATATTTAAAAATTATGTCACAATTTGCGATGGAATAATAAATACCATCGCAGTCGACTGTTGAATTTGCGATGGAATGTCCAACAAAATCCGTCGCAAAATTACAAAAAAATAAAATAAAAATTAAATTCATTTATTTTTCAGATTTAAATTTTAATAAAGACCACAAAAAGAATCTAGTAACTGCATCAAACAAGCTTCATTAGTCTAGCACTTTCATTAGTTGAAAGCCACAAAATCGTCTGGCGATTCCCACGAACCACAACCATTTCGGAGTGAGTGAAGACAATGATTTTGCATATATAAATTTTCAATATTAATGAGCCACATAAAAATTCAAAAACAAAATTTTTCCTCAAAGAAGTACATAGGGATTCACATGTGACTTACATATTGAAGCAACCAAGCTTGACATTTTACATCCTACAACAAATTTGAAGAAAAACAAAATATCAAAGATTATATCATAAAAAAAACATATTCTAACATAAACAAAGATAGGTGATAACAATGGCTACCATGAAGAATGAGTTTAAGAACTGAACAAAACACTTGAGCTTTTCCTTCCTTTTCTCGAGCTCGATCGGTGGATTCAACAAATTGAATTCATTTTGGAGAACCTAAAAACAAAGAAAATGAAACCCAAAAGATAGGAAATGGAGATGGAAGGGAGTCATGGAAGGAATGGTGAAAATGGTAAAGAGAAATGGAGATATGATGAATATTTATTTTTCACGAAATGAAGATAAAATTGAAAGAGAATTGAGTTGAAAGAGAAATGAGAGAAATGAAATTTGTGAAGTTAATTTTTGTACTTAAAAGCGTTTTTGCGACGGAAATTTTCCATCGCAAATTGGGACGGATATCTATCCCGTCGCAAAATTCTGCAATTTTTTGAATTTTGAAATTTTAAAAGTCCGCAAATTTTATTTTTCAAATTGCGACGGAAATTTGCATCGCAATTTGTGACAGATATATTTTTGGTCGCAAATTTACGCAACATTTTTGAATTTTGAATTCTTAAAATCCCACAAATTTTACTTTTCAAATTGGCACAGAAATTTCAGTCGCAATTTGGGACAAATATATTTTCGGTTGCAAATTTGCGCAATATTTTTGAGTTTCGAAATTTTAAAAGCCCGCAAATTTTATTTTTCAAATTGTGACGAAAATTTCTGTCCCAATTTGTGACGGATAAATTTTCAGTCGCAAATTTGCGCAATATTTTTGAATTTTAAAATTTTAAAAAGCCGCTAATTTTATTTTTCAAATTGCGATGGAAAATTTGCGTCGCAATTTGGGACGAATATATTTTCGGTCGCAAAATTGCGTAACATTTTTTATTGTCAATTGCCTATATGTTTTTTATATAAGATATATATAAGATTATTAATTAAGAAAAATTATATTTCAATATTTGCAATGGAATACTATTCCGTTTCAAAATACAAGTGAAATATCATCGCAAAATCCGTCACAAATCATATATAATAATACGGTCACAAATTCCTTTGCAAATTGCAACGGATTAACTCTCACAGCCGTCGCAAAGTTTTCTCCCAAAGTTTTCGATTGGTTTGCCCGTCGTAAAAATTTCCGTCATAAACACCCGTCGCAAATTTTTCATTTTTTGCGACCGAATTAATTTTCGTCGCAATTTGCGATGAAATTTGCATACAATTTTTTAGTGACCAAAATTTTGACAAATTTTCGTTGTAATTATTTTACGATCGCAATTTCCGTCTCAAATTTTGACGATTGATTTTTCGTAGCAATTTCTGTCGCAATTTGCGACGGGTTATTTTCCATTGCAAATTTTCGTCACAATTTCAGCATTTTCTAGTAGTGTTTTGAAATTAAGTATACGCTTGAGGATGGGGAATCATACAATTAACGTCATCGATCATTGCGCAGATTACAAGAAATTTAAAATAGATTTAGTAAAATGTATTTTAAAATGTATTTTAACTACGGAGAAATTCATAAAACAGACTGTTTTGAAATTAAATCCACATTGCACGGAGTCTAAGATAGCGCAGCTATACAAAGGACTTTTAGGATACAATCAAGGCTTGAGGATTGCAATCCATATAATGCACGTTGTCGATCGCCACATGTAACAATGGAAAATTAAAACAGATTTTGAAAGCGTATTTTGATTATAAACAAATTGATAAAATAAACTTTTCTTTTTAAAATGAGTCCACATTGTACGGAGTCCAAAATAGCTTGGTTATACGAAGACTCTTACGATACAAATAGCGGTGTGAAAAGAGTTAAGGGCTTTTAGCCCGGCTCGTGTAGGCCTAGACTTAGACTTGTATAAAAGCTTGTTTAATAAAAAGTTCTCATGCTCTAATTCAATGCGTCAGGCGACTCAGGCCTACTAACTCTTTATATATATATATATATATATATATATATATATATATATATACTAACCTAATTTTCACTCTCTTCGTCGCACCCATCCCACTCAAGCCATCAAGCAACTATCCTCTGTAGTTATCTTCGTCGAAGCCATCTCCAAGCATTTCAATATCGTTGATTTGGACTCCCATCGTCTCACCCAGCCCACTCAAGCCATCAAACAATCATTCTCCGTGATTCTCTTCAAGGTTTTGATACCCGTGGTTGATTAAATAAAAACAGAACATATTTGGAGACCACCATGTCAACCTTCTTTTCCGTAGCCAATATTTTTGTAATTGCTTTGCCAACTACACCTCAAATTTCCAACTTATTAGTTGTAACGTTGCAACTTAGGTTACGCTATCAATTATTTTTATGCCTTCTTATTTGTCCCAGTTCAGCTTCACGATCACCCAACAAGATGGATTAGGAGAAATTGAGGTGCTACTGCCATTGAATGTATTATTATTCAACCCTTTTAGTGCTTAATTAGACATGCGTGGGAACAACAGCTACCATGTCTCGCTTGCTGTTTTGATTAGAGGTGGTAATATGAGTTAAATTCGATGGGTCAACCTGTCAAAATGGGGTGGGTTGAGTTATACATTTCAACTCATTAACCCGCCTTGCTTAGTTGTGGGTCAAAACGGGTTAGTGGGTAGTCGGGGCGGGTTGAGCTGCGGGTCAGTTATTTTTTTTTTACTATTAGGTAGTATTTGTCAAGCTTTTATGATATAATTTTTTTTTATCTTAGTACTTGCCTATAAAAAAATAAAGAAGAAAAACTTTATCTATGACAAAGGTTATCTATATATAGAGGCAAAAATAAGTTCAAAAAAAACGTCTGACTGAATATTAGCTTATATTTAGGCTTGAGAAAGGGGAGTGTGAAATAAAAATAAATAATATGATAAAATTAATAATGTAAAGCTTTTGAAAATAAGTAATTTTGTCTCAACATGAGATAAAACTATCTATTGGTTCAAAAAAAAGGTTTTGAAAATTTTGAAAATACTTTCCTCTTGCATCATTAATTTTACAAAAATATTCTATATTTTTTTTCAATTCTAAAAATGATGTTATTTCAGGATTGCAAGAGAAACATTAATCAAATAAATAAACATAGTAAAAAAATGAAGACAAATAATAAAAAACATGGTGAATAATAGATTATTTCTCCGCAATAAATTCATATTCTGCCCTAGGACAATTCGTATCACTATAGCAAAAGGGTAACCCGCCCCACCTCACCTCCAATTCACCTTCAAATAATCCAACTTACCTCTTGCTTTTGAAAATGAATTGAAAATTTCAACCAACTCGACCTGCCTCCAAGCCGCCCTGCCCCTGCAACTTGTGAACATATTAAAAAAAAGATTTTTTTTTTTTTAATTATACTTTCCGTAGATGTAAAAAGTATCAAATATGAACAAATGAGGTATAAAAATATTATTAAATAATGTTTTTAAAATTAATAATAAAATAAAAAATGAACCTGGCGGGTCAAACCATACGAGTTGAATCCATTTTAATCCGCCTTTAAACGGAGTAGATTAAAAATCAGAACTCAACCTACCATTTGTAACGGATGGGTTATCCGTTTTGCCGCCATTTATTTCTAACTCTATTAGCTCAACTCAAGTATATTTCGCGTTATCCCTTCCTTCTTTGGTGTGTGTCATAAGTTATAATTATGAGAATCTGTAATTTATGAGTGCATTTATTTGAGGAAGTTATATTTATAATTATTTTCGATTATAAACTTTTATAACCAAAATTTATTTGTTAATTTTTATTAATTTGATGATTATAATTTATTGTATGATACTTATTAATTAATTATTAATTAAATTAATGAAAATTAATAGTTAAAATTTGATTATAAAAATTTATATATAAATAAAAAATTGTTATAAATATAACATCCTCTATTTATATTATTAAAAAGATAATTGAGAATCTTGGCCAGTAATCTGGTTAGTTTCGTGGTGAATGGGATCAGTCAACGTCCCTTCACAAGTTGACCCACAATCTTAATTTCTCACATAAAGATAGGACCCAATTATTAAATCACAATCACGTCAAAAACGGTAATCCAAAATTCAACGTGCGTTTAGCAAATTATAAATTCACATAAAGATTTTAATTCTTTCAGTTTTCACTTAAACTCTTTCTTGCACCCTTAGCTTTCAAACCGTCCTTCTTTCCTTTCTACTCTTTCTATCGATCGAAGTCATGGCCCTAAACCTAAACTCAAAAACCACATTTCTCTTCCACCTTCTCTTCTTGTTAGGTTAACAATAATTACCTGTTAGTTAATACCATGTTATGACAAAGCGCTTTGGATTTTATTTATTTTTTCTGACTTTTTTATTTTTGTATGAATATATTTGCAGGTAATGTAGCATCTGCCACGGTGTTTACCCTCGAAAACCAGTGCGGATTCACAGTTTGGCCCGGGACACTTTCCGGCAACGGCGCCGCCATTCTCGGCGATGGAGGTTTTTCGCTGCCACCCGGTTCGGCGGTTAAGCTCACCGCACCATCCGGCTGGTCAGGACGCTTCTGGGCCCGAACAGGGTGCGAATTTGACGGCGCCGGCAACGGAAATTGTGTCACCGGAAACTGCTTCGGAGGACTCAAGTGCAAAGGGGGAGGTTATCCGCCGGTGACGCTGGCGGAGTTCACCATCGGATCCGCCAGTAATGGAAACAAGGATTTCTACGACGTGAGCCTCGTGGACGGTTATAATGTGGGTATGGGAGTGTGGGCAACCGGAGGAACCGGTGACTGCCAGCACGCAGGGTGTGTTGCGGACTTGAATGGTAACTGCCCGGAGGAGTTGAAGCTCAAAGACTACGGGTCGGGTAGGGTTGTGGCGTGCAAAAGCGCGTGCCAAGCATTTAATAAGGATGTGTTTTGTTGCACCGGCGCGTACTCAACACCGCAGACATGTTCGCCCACGCATTACTCGAAGATTTTTAAGGCGGCGTGCCCCGCAGCTTACAGTTACGCATACGACGATGCTTCAAGCATTTGCACATGTTCGGGCTCCGATTACCGCATCATTTTTTGCCCCAACAGATCTGCCTAGTTATTAATATGACAATATCTTATATGATTATTGTAACGACCGAAAATTTTCGAAAATGAATAAAAAATATATGGAGTTGCTACCAATTTAAATTTGGAAAAATAGTAAATTGGTATTTAAATCAAGGTTGGGTGGAAACCAGGGTTTAAAAACCCGGCCCGGCCATCGACCCGACGAGGACAAGGGTCACGGGATCATGGGTTTAACCGGAGGGTCACGGAGTCACTTCGGTGATATAAAAAACAAACCACCAATAATTCAAAAAATGAAATAAGCAACAGTAATGTCGCACCTACCTTCTTGGATCGAATAAAGTTAGCTTGTGTGGGACTTAACAGAAAAGCTTCCACCACCATCTCCTATGACTTTTGCGGTTCTGCCTCTTTTGAAAAGGTTCTTGACAAAGGAAAATTTTGAGGAAGTAAGAATGAGATTTTGTTTTTCATTTGAATTGGTCAAAATTTTACCTTTTCTGGTCGATCAATAGAGGAAGTAAGAATGAGATTTTGTTTTCCATTTGAATTGGTAAAAATTTTACCTTTTCTGGTCGATCACTGCAGCAATGACCGATCGATTATAAGTTCTTGAAGATTCACGGCAGCGAGGTTAAGATTGAAGACGTCTGGGTCGCTGGGAGAGAAGAGAACGATTAGATTTAGATTTGCAAGTATTTTTATTTTTTATTTTTTAAAATAAAACGACATTGTTTCATGAAATTTTAAAAAAAAATATGCAATGACCCGCTTTGACCCCTTTGACCCAGGAGTCACTGAAACCCAGCCTGGTTTTGGGGGTCGTAGGAGTCGATGTGCGTATAGGGTCCAACTTATAACCCCAACCCTCGGAGGGGAGGGGTCAGGGTTGACCAGGATAAACCCGGGGGCCGAGGTGGAGTTTTTAAACACTGGTGGAAACTTAATCCCTATGAAAAAATAGTAAATTGGTATTTAAATCAAGGTTTGGGGTGGGAAACTTAATCCCTACATCCATTTTCTTAAATTAGTTGTGCAAATTTTAATAAATTTTTAAAATATTTGCTTAAACCAAATAAATTAAAACGAATTGAATAATAAGATGGGAAAGGTTATATTTACAATTTTTTCTTTCACAAACTCTTATAATCAAATTTTAACTCTTTATTTTCGCTCAATCTAACACGGTTATAATTTATTGAGAATTAATAAATAATTAATAAGTGTGACCCAAAAAATTATAACCTTTAAAATTTTGGCAAAAACAGTAAGATATGGTTGTAAGATTTTGTAAACAAAAAAAATTATAAATATAATATTTTCCAAATAAAATAATCTACAGGAAAAGGAAACAAAATTTTAAAACTTTTATTTTGTGGAACTCAAAGCTACAGTGTTCTTAAAATTATTTATTAGTTTTGGTTAATTTTCCGCTCCAATGTATCCTCTTTGTAACAAGGAACTCAAAGCTATGGTTCTTAAAACATATTTGTTAGTTTTGTTATATTTAAAACTTTTGAAGGTAACTCATAATTGCACAGGATATAAGATAACATGTCATATGTATATCCTTACGAAGCATATGGCGCTTTAGGGCCAACCATACAATCAAGTATTAACAAAAGTTTGAAATAGATTTATTAAAATGATTTTTATTATAATGAAAGTGATAAATAATTTTGTTTTAAAATTAAGTCCACACTTGAGGATTGTAACCATACAATAAACGTCGTTGATCATTGCGCAGATTACAAGAAATTTAAAATAGATTTAGTAAAATGCATTTTAACTACGGAGAAATTGATAAAACCGATTGTTTTGAAATTAAATCCACATTGTACGAAGGCTCTTACGATACAGACAACAACGTTTGAGTATGGCAGGTCATACAATCAACGTTGTTGTCAATCGCCACGTGGAACAAAGGAAAATTAAAATAGATTTTGAAAGCGTATTTCGATTATAAAGAAATTGATAAAATAATTTTTTTTAATGGGTCCAAAATAGCTTGGTTATACGAAGACTGTTACGATACAGACAATGCTTGAGGATGACGAGCCATATAAAATATTTTTTTTAAAATGAGTCCAAAATAGCTTGGTTATATGAAGACTATTACGATACCGACAATACTTGAGGATGACGAGCCATATAATCAACACTGTCAATCGTAACGTGGAACGAAAGAAAGTTAAAGCAGATTATTTATCACTTTCATTATAATAAAAATCATTTTAATAAATCTATTTCAAACTTTTAGTATAACTTTTGCAATAACTTTTGCAAGGGAATTTGTGACGAAAAGTAATAGCGAGGCTGAAATTAGCGACGAAATTTTCATAACAATTCCGTCACTATACAAGTTTTTTCTAGTAGTGAAAGAAAATGATAAAATAATTTGTTTAAATATTTTAAATATAATTTTATATTCTTATAACTTTATGACTAAATAATTGATCACATCAACATTATAAACGCATGAATTACACAAGAGGAATTATTTCAAAAATACAAGCAAGCAAATACTAAAAAGTAAACATAAGAGAAACAATAACCTAAACTACTATTTTTTACATTTTTAATTCTGTCCTAACTAAAATTTTACTTCTTTCCACCTTTTTGAATATTTTGAAAATTTTATACTTTTTAAGTTTATCACTTTTGTTTTATTTCATCATTTGTCCACTACCTTAACATTTCTCAAAATAAAATTAACTAAAGTTGGCTCGCTTAAAAGATCCATCAAATAATGCCTCAACTTATTAGGAAAAGACAAGAAAAACTAAACTTTACGGAAATCGATCATGTCATGTTAAAGAAAAAAAAAAAAGATAAAAATCAAAACTATACAAAGATAAATTAATAGTGATAATTTTATAATTATCTTTTTCAAAAAAAAAAAATCTCTCCTTTTTTATCACCATTAATCTATTTTCATAGTATTATAATTTTTCATGTTATCATATCATATATTTTTTTTAATATAAAAAGATTCACTCCCAAACTTTACGTATCATCCTAAATGCATGTGTTCAGTAACCTTCATTCGAGGGTTATTATTTTTTATTTTTTATTATCTTTGCGGGTCCTTTAGTGAGGGTATTCAACTAACAGTAAGCAATTACAGCTTGAACGAACACATGCTGTAGTAGCGTTCCATCCTAGTTTCTATCCTACTTCCTTACTAATTTAATTGATGGATTTTGTATTTGTCACGTTACATGATAAAAATTGAGTTTTTTTACGGATATATCAATACTTATGTTATATTTGTTGGAATTTATATATATATATATATATATATATATATATATATATATATATATATAAATATAAATTGTATAGACAATCTATTGGTTATGAATAAGAAGTTTGGTAGTGAAAAGGTGTGCCTTTTCGTCGACAAACAGATGTATCTTTTCATCCTAAAGGATGTGTTGTTTCATCCTAACGGACATGTTGTTTCATCCTTGAATGAGTGTCTTTTCGTGTGGAACGAATGTGTCTTTCCGTGTCGAACGAATGTGTCTTTTCGTGTCCAACAGATGTGTTGTTTCGTCGTCGAATAAGTGCCTTTTGGAACGTGACTTTACGTTGTCTATAAATAGACACTGACACCTTCAGAAAATGGATCCAGTTTTCTGCACTTAAACTCTGCCGGAATTTTTCTCCTTCCGGTTTTGCATACTGTTGTTCATCCTCCGGTGTGATTTCCTCTGGCAATTGTTGTGTTCGTTTGGGCTGTTGATTGGTAGTGCCACCATTCTTCAGACGTAATCCGTTCTATCCTGGGAGACAAGTGTCCATCAACCTTAGGCATCAGTGAGGGGGCAAATTGTCTTGAGGAGACACGTTATGTGGGCTCGGATTTAATTCCTCTACTGCATACATTAATCTCTTCTGATTTTTTATACTGACTACAAGTAAGTCTGTTCTTATATTTTTTATAATTGCACAGTGATAATTCTGATCATCTACCTACTCTGCCTTATATATGGGTTCAAATCTCTTAGTGATATAATATCACCCACTGCCTTCAATAACAATCTTAAGACAATTTGGTGTTTTGAACCTGTGATCAGTATATTTTATTTTCTGTTTTATATACTGTTTTTTATTTACTGTGTGATTAATCTGTGTGATTAATCTGTGTTTCTGTTTGCATGAATAATATGTGAATGGTATCACTTTTTCTGTGATTGGAAATATATGTCTTTAGATTTCCAATTGATATATAATATTATATTTCATGCGACATTATTCTGTGTTTGGTTTTCTCTGTGCCTTCCATGAGAATTTATCGTGTAAATCACGTATGTGCAGTGTGATCCTTTAGTTTTATGTAAAAGTATTACTTCGGTACCGTACATACAAAACTCTAATGGAAAGTATTCCTTTTTACGATCTTTTTATCCTGAAAGTTAATTTCTTGGGATGCATATAACACAGATAATTTTTATAGTTTGAGTTTCATCCGTGTTTACAAAAATATGATCTTGTGAACAATGGAAAGGGGCTTTTGTATGTATTTGGATATGTCTTCTTGGATTTTCATTGATATATGACTTGGTGGCCATAAATTTTGCATGTCAAAACGTGTATGCAATAATGGTGGCATTATAATATTATAATAAATACATAACTATGGCAGCCATTATTGATATAGTTACGGTGTGGTATCTTTTTGTATATCAAGAAGTTTGCATTTGTGTATGCATAGATATGATGCATGATGTTGGATTGTTGGTACCATAATTTGCTTTAAACCTTCCTTCCATATTTAAATTGGGTTGGAATACTGGAAGTTAAAAACGGTGCAATAATACATTTTTTTTTCATGTTTTGGAATTAAAAAAAAAATATTAAAATTCATTGACGCTGACATTGCGAATTCAAAAGTTGCGTACCAAATTTTACCGAAAGATGAACGAAAAGTTCAGACATGTCGGTTGATGTATTTCCATTAATGCATATTGCATTTGAATAGCATTTGAATTTTGCAACACTGTGCCCTCAAGTTTTATACAC